CTCTCACCAATTTCAAAGTTAGTCATTTGAGATTAATAATATTTGATGATAGGATAATTAAGATTATTTGATTTGTTGATGTGAGCAATTATATACATACATGTTGAAGAAGACACTAACAAAAAAGAATAATCAAATACACAATATTACTAAAGAATAATCATAAAGATAAAAAAGAAACATACATGTTGAAGGAGACGAAGTTACTATGAAAATTGTGTAATTTATTGGTTTATATATAGGTATGAGGTGTTGCATGTGATAGGATAACAATTACAATTAGAGTTATCTTTGTATAAAAATTACAAATTGTAAAATATTTTATTATAATAACAATAACATAATTCTTATCAACAATTTCATATGCGTAAAGTCTATGCCTCATACGGATTAGGATTAGGGTATTTAGTTCAAACTGAATAATTAGGATAGCCTTTTAGTTGTTCATTTAAACTTTGAAGTTTGTGTCTTAGTTCAAACTTTAAAGAAAGAGAGGAGGAATAATTGGGATAGATATTTATTCAAACTTTAAAGAAAGAGAGGAGAAGGAATGTGTACCGATTAGGATTATGATATTTAGTTCAAACTGAATAATTAGGATAGTCTTTTTGTAATTTATTTAAACTTTAATAAAAGTGTTAGTAAGATAAGTAGTCCTTAGTCATATTGAAGATTATCTTGCTTCTACAAATTAAATATCATTATCAAGTAAAAAATTAGATAGAAAGTTGTGTCAATTGTGAGCCGCGATTCAAGTGTGCGAGCGATTTATTTTCTTTTTTATAATTAAATATAATTTAAAAATTAGAATTCGATTAGGATTAGGATAGTTCAAACTTTAAAGTTATTTGATTATAATAAATCATTAAATACAATTTAAAAATTAGAATTTGATTAGTATTAGCATAGTTTAAACTTTATAGGGGTATTTTTGTCTACCGAAAGATTTTTACGAACTCATGCTTTTAAAGGAAATATGATATGATATATAATTATTTTAAAATCTTTATCAAAAAAGAAATAAAATCCAACAAAGTTTGCTCAACTGGCGGTGGATGGTGGGGAAAGAAGTAAGGTGATTTTTAATGCATACGTGTGGATTAATTGGTAATTGTGTTACTAAATTAAATAGATTTTCTTAACCTTTTTCTTTTTTGCAAAAAAAATGGCTGCATGGGCTTTAGGATTAATTGAACTACTGATTCAATAGATCGATTTGATTCGATGTTCAAATCCATGTGTGTATAACGATGCCATATGTTAGATATATGTGTATGCCACTGCAGGTTAAAGGAGACGAAGTTACTATGAAAATTGTGTAATTTCTTGGTTTATATATAGGCATGAGATATTGCATGTGATAGGATGACAATTACAATTAGAGTTCTCTTTGTATAAAGATTACAAATTGTATAATATTTTATTATAATAACAATAACACAATTCTTATCAACAATTTCATATGCGTAAAGTCTATGCCTCATACAGATTAGGATTAGGGTATTTTGTTCAAACTAAATAATTAGGATAGCCTTTTAGTAGTTTATTTAAACTTTAAAGTTTGTGTCTTAGTTCAAACTTTTACAAGAAAGAGAGGAGACATAATTAGGATAGATATTTACTTCAAACTTTAAAGAAAGAGCGGGGGCGGAATGTGTACGGATTAGGATTAGGATATTTAGTTCAAACTGAATAATTAGGATAGCCTTTTAGTAATTTATTTAAATTTTATTAAAAGTGTCGGTAAGGTAAGTAGTCCTTAGCCGTATTGAAGATTATCTCGCTTCTGCAAATTAAATATTATTATCAAGTAAAAATTAGATATCAAAGCTGTGTCAACCGTGAGCCACGATTCAAGTGTGCAAGCAATTTGTTTTCTGTTTTTTTATCATTAAATACAATTTAAAAGGATAGTTCAAACTCTAAAGTTATTTGATTAGGATTAGAATAAATAATTAAATAAGATTTAAAAATTAGAATTTGATTAGAATTAGGATAGTTCAAACTTTATAGGGATATTTTTGTCTACCGAAAGATTTTCCCGAACTCGTGCTTTTAAAGCGGAAAAAATATGATGATATGATTTGTTTTGTGACTGGATGTAAATAGTTAGTTTATTTATTTATTTGATTATATCCATGTGTTTTTTTAATATGTTGACAATTGAATGTGTGGCCGAAAAAAGGGGAAAAAAAAGAAAGACTTGATTTATTTTTCAGAAAAAATATATTAAGTGAAAAAATGTAGATAGTTGTATAGTATATTTCTTTCATCATCACACTTATATATTTTTGACCCCCCCCCAGTATTTAAATCTTGGCTACGCCACCGTGACACGTTGTAGCGTATTTGGATTGAACGAGGAAGCGGCCTTCGTAACAGGGTATGTATGATGATTGACGACAACCGAGCGGGGATGTTGTCCCAAGCGCTCACTAGGATTAGGGGTGGCAATTTATGACCCAACCCATCAACCCGACCCGACCCGACCCGACCCATTTATATTGGGTATGGGTCAAGTTATATGGGTTGGGTCATAAATGGGTCAACCCGAATTTACCCGTTTATTAGATGGGTTGATCTACTAAACCGTCTACTGACCCGTCTAACACTCATCTAACCCGAATTTACCCAAGTGAACCTCTACAGACCCGACTAACCCTTCGCCTCTCTCAAAGGAAGCCCTAGATTTCTCTCTCTTCTCTCGAGCGGCGAGGGGCGGCGAGCGGCAGCGATCCTCGAAGCTAAGTTCTCCTCTCTCCATCGGCGAGCGGCAGCGATCCTCGACGAGCGGCGAGGGGCAGCGCTCGAGTTCTCCTCTCTCCATCAAGCAGCCATAGTTCCTCCTCCTCTCTCTCTCTCCATCGAGCAGCCATAGCCCAGTTCCTCTTGATCAATAGAAGAATTAGATCTTTAATCGAGCTAATCACTGGATTTTGAGGTACACTTAGCTAGGGCTTTTTGATTAATGGCTACAGATCTGCTAATGTTAATGACGTCTGATTAATGGCTACAGATTTTTCTGAGTCTATATCAATTTGAAACTACAGATTTTTCTAAAATTTCAGAATTTATAATTACTGAATAAAGAGTAGGTTTGTTGAAATTACAAGCTAGTTTGAAACAGAAATTTCATCATATTTTTGAAAGTAGGTTTGTTAAAATTAGAGATCACTGATTGTTAGAACTCTCAATCGAACTCGAACCTTGTTGAGATTGAGCTTCTAAGCATCAGGTCAGATTTATCTGTGAATACAAACCATCAAATTTGGTCTCCTATTTTTGCCCCCTACTGTTTTTGTGATGAACAATGAATATCTTCTAAACCACTATGTTTCAGTTGTTGTGCTCGGTAGAGGTGCGTTGGGTTTCTTCATTTTTTGTTTATTTATAAATTAAAAAAGCCGCATATAAATGTTGCATAGTCTATATGATTGAATAGCATTTGGGGTTATATGGGAGCCATTCTATTTGAAGTTGTCAATGTTTATTTGGCAACTAAATGTACCACCTGTTGATACATTCAATCTTTTGCGAAAAAGAATCAGTTCATTATTGTTATATGATTGAATAGCATTTGGGGTTATATGTGAGCCATTCTGTTTAGAATCAGTTAATTTGTGTTATCTGTTGAATTTTATTTAATTTTATGAATCTTATGTAGTTCTGTAATTTTCATCACAGTTAATGGAGTCTAATTCTACCCATAATTCTATAGCGGATAATCTAGAAGCAGATTCATCTAATGAAGAATTAGAAGACATGTCTAGTCCCGTTCAAAAAAAATCCAAAGCGATAATTGTTGGAAGTCGAAAAAGAAAATTAACGTCCAAAGCTTGAAAAATGTTTGACCTTGTTCAAGAGCCAGGTGAGAAACAATATTCAATATGTAAGAAGTGTGGAATCAAATATATTGCCGAAGGTAACCATGGGACAAAGAACATGTTAAGACACATGAAAAATTGTAAGAAAGCTACTAGAGAAGATATTGAGGGTCTATCTAACTCAAAAGATTCTATAATGAGTTCCTCAAGATATAATTTTGACCCGGATAAGTTTAGGGAGCTTTTAGTCTCGGCCATCATTATGCACGATTTGCCATTTCAATTTGTTGAGTATGAAGGTATTCGAGCAATCTTCTCTTATCTTTGTGAGGATATAAAACACATATCAAGAAATACGGTTAAAGCCGATGTTCTTAAAATCTATGGAAGAGAGAAAAATAAGCTAAAAGAAGCTTTTAGTCTCGGCAATCAATTTCCTAACTATTTTGTTGTAAACTTGTGTATATTCTCTTTATTAAATTCTTTGTTGCTAGTTTTTAGTTTAGATTATTCTGTGTCTAAAGAGTTGCATCGATGTATTTTTGTTTGCCGATATTTACAATTCGTTGAAGTACATTTAAATACTGAATATGTCTTTGAAATAACTCCATGTTGTAAGTAATGATAGTTTTTGTCTAAAGAGCTTGCAAGAAGTGTTCTTTTGTGCTTGTATAAATTTTTTTATTAGTTGTATGTGTTAGAATGTCTTGTATTAGATAAATGGGTTATTCGGGTTATATGGGTCGGGTCGGGTAACTCGTTTAATAACGGGTCGGATCACATTGACCCATTTATTAAACGGGTCGGGTCGGGTCAAACTTATACGGGTCGGGTCAAATTTTATATGGGTCGGGTCGGGTCGGGTCGACCCATTTGCCACCCCTAACTAGGATTATCTAATTTGATAGTTTGAACTGCGATGTAATTGGGCCTTAGGAAAATGGTTTAACGTAGGAACTTTCATTTATTATTATCATTTTTATTAACGAAGGAACATTTATGTACGTGGTGAATGGCTGAATGGGGCTTCGAAAGATTCGTATCCTTGTTGGGCGGCACAAAAAAAAAAAGAAAAAAGGCCTGACTTGTGTCCAACCCAGCCCAACAAAAAAATTTAAAAAAAAAGTAAAGCCTCCTCACAACCTCATCCAGCCCAAAGCTATATAATCTCTCTCCCTCTCCTGCGAAACCCTAACCCTAACTCTTCCCCCCGCCCCCAAACCCTAGAAAACCCTAGATCGCCGCCATGCCGCCCAAGTTCGACCCCTCCCAGGTCGTCGACGTCTACGTCCGCGTCACCGGAGGCGAGGTCGGCGCCGCCTCCTCCCTCGCCCCCAAGATCGGCCCCCTCGGGCTCTCCCCCAAGAAGATCGGAGAGGACATCGCCAAGGAGACCGCCAAGGACTGGAAGGGACTCCGCGTCACCGTGAAGCTCACTGTTCAGAATCGACAGGCGAAGG